GCATCTAGCGTGGTGCTCCAGCGCGCCGAAGCTAGCTGTACAAGCTTCAGGGCCTAACAAGGCGGCGCGGCAGACGGTCGCCTGCGCGGCCAACAAGCTTATAGAGCCGAATCGGACGGTGCGACGCAGCAGGAGGCTGCATGTGCGCCGATGGCGTCCGACAGCGCGCAACAGAGATCTAAACTATGCCGAGACACAGGCGGCTGCTTAAGCGCCGACGGCGACCAACGATGACCATCTAGGATCCTTGAGACAAGCGAGCGCATGCAAGCATGGCACACGCCGTGAGGTCGGTGCGGTACAAGCAGGAGGCTACTTCAACGCCGACGGCGACCGATGGGCCAACAGTCCAAAACCGAAAAGGGGGACCGTACCACACGAGTGTTTAGTAAGATTGACAGCCGAAACTGATAGTAAGGATGCGCGGTAAGGGTGCAGACCCCGTGGACCCCCATGCCGACACTTCTCGAGCGGGGCGCGGCCATCGAAAGAAAGAGGTTGAGGATGGACCAGAGATGACCGGAGAGGCAAGGATACAAGGGTACCCTTGGGAAGTCGATCATCCTTGCTAGCAGTATTGACTGTGCCACACGCATGTTTGGTACGGCATATCCCACCTCCATGGGCTGGCCTGCGCTCGCTCGTGCTTGCGTCGCCGCTTGCCCGACTACACCAAACCACAGTCTGCCGAGGCACGCACCGAGTGAACGGCGCAGCGAATCAGCAACTCAAGAAAGGCAGGAGGAACCAAAACGCTGCTACACCTTTGGCCAGGGACCGCGCCCGACGGTGACTCCTCGATCGGAATCGGAATCAGAATCGGAGCAGATTCGTTCGACGCATCACTGGAGGAGGAGGAGGAGGAGGAGGAGGAGGAGGAGGAGGAGGAGGACGAGGAGGAGGAGGGGGAGGAGGAGGAGGAGGAGGAGGAGGAGCAGGAGGAGGAGGAGGAGGAGGGGGAGGAGGTGGAGGACAAGCTAGGTGCGCTCGCGTCATATCTGACGTCCTACCCCTCCATCCCATCCCTTACCATGGCGCTGATTTTCTCTATCCGCAGACGCGTGTCGTAGCGGACCTGTGGCTCCGCGCGCGCGTGCGTAGTGGGTGGTGGTGCGCGTGCGTGCGTGCGTGCGTGTGTGCGTGGTTGCGTGGTGGTGGTGGTGGTGGTGGTGGTGGTGGTGGTGGTGGTGGTGGTGGTGGTGGTGGTGGTGGTGGTGGTGGTGGTGGTGGTGGTGGTGGTGGTGGTGGTGGTGGTGGTGGTGCGGCGCGGTGGTGGCGGGCGGATGGGCGCGCGAGAAAGAGGCCCGCGCTGGGGCGAGAACGCCATCCTGAACGACGGAGGCCAAACACCGATCCGAAAATGAGGCCCACGCTGCAGCGGGAGCACGATTCGGAACGATTCGGGAGCAGAAATGAGGCCGGCGCCTCAGCGAGAGCAGCATTTTGAAAAAAACGCAGGCGAAAACCCGTTTCCCGGGAATCCTGTGTGTAAAAAAACAGTACGCGGGGGGGGGTCGGCCATCTTCGGGACGCCATCAGGGGAAGTGGGAGAGTATTTTCATATTTTGTAATTGTGGAGGAGGAGGAGGAGGAGGAGGAGGAGGAGGAGGAGGAGGAGGAGGATGTGGAGAATCGCCGCCGCTGCCAATCGTGGGGGGGGCCTTCCGCCTAGCCCCTTGAGAGAAGGGGCGGGAAGGCATAAGCGGGGGCGGATGGCCATGCGCGGCGCCCGCCGGCCTCGCGCAATGGCCACGCGGCGAGGCACCTGCGACATCCACCAGGACTTCGCGGGCAACTACAACTGCAGCGCCTGCAAGATCAATGCGAGCTACGAAGACACTGAGTCCGACCAGTGACGCGAGACCCTCTTACCGCGTCTCCTACCACATGGTGTGATGTCATACCGAGCCGCCACGCAGAGGGTTGCATATGCAATCCAGAAGAGTATCGAGACCATCAGAGATGAAATATGAAACCATCGACATACTTGCCGATAACCTCAAGAGCTAGCCGGACAGGGACCGGCAGCCGAACCAGCAGCACCGCTGCGCGGACCAGAAGCGCTACAACCACAACCAACAGCCCCTCGACTGGGACCGGATTGGCGGTGCAGAAGTGGATAGAAGCAGGTGGGAAGGTTTCTCAGAAGCAGGGGTGCTTCTCAGGAGCCTTCGCCCCTCCCCTACCCTCCTCTGCAAGTGGCCGAAACCAGAAGGGCTACCACTGGGGCCAACAGCACTCCGACTGTAACAGGCAGCACATCGTCCGGAACCAGAAGCGCCTCGAAGGATTTGCTCAGTAATCAATGACGTGCCTGACGGTTTAACGTCCGCCGCCACGCCAGTAGCACGAGCAACATACATAAGCCCACGGACCCAGGGCGCCCCTCAAGGCGCTGGCCCCAAGAGGCCAGCAGACCCGAACACGGGGGAGGACCCGGCACGAGCCAAAAGCGTGGGCCAGAGACCGTCGGCCTCCGCCAGGAGACATCGGAATTCCTACCGACCTTCGTCGCCACTTCGGAGGTCACGGAGGTCATCGCGGCCACGGTAGCTGCCCTCCAGAAGGAGACGCAGCAAGGGCTCCGGGCCATCCGGGCGCGCATCGCCACTAACCCCACCATTTGCACCTGCGGCGCCGTCGCCTTCCCTGAGGTGCGCGCTGGCTGGATCAGCCCCTCCAGCCGCTCGAGGCCAGCGACGACCAGCAGAGCGACTTTAACTGGGCCTTCCAGGGCAAGCTGAAGAACGAGTGGAGCTTCCCATGGGGCCAGCGGGGCTACGACCAGAAGCATCAGAGCAGCTTCGGGAGCCAGCGCGGCATCCTAGAGGACCAGCAGAGCTACGACGGGAACAGGCAGAGCGACCCAGAGCACCAGCGGAGCGTCCTCGAAAAAGGCCCGGGCTGCCCCTGCAGCGCAATCCAAAGTGAGCACCTCGACAGAGGAGAGAACGCGTTTCGTGGACGCTTGCCTGGAAAAAACACCTTGACACGTTTGAACCGGGGGGGGGGGAAATATTGAGCGCTCCTGGAGAGACGACCCCCCCCCCCGCTGAACACTGCACACTGGCCTCCTTGACCGCTCCCCTCCCCCCCTTCCAAGGGGGAGGGGGGGTCGAAAGAGGCCCTCCCTCCTGAGCTGCACGGGGGAGGGGTTCGAACCGGCGGGGGGGCCCTCCCCCACCTTTCCAGGGGGGGGAACTCGAACCGGCCACCCAACGAGTTGCACGGGGGGGGGGAGTGCCAGGGGGAGTGCCCCGCCTTGTGCAGGGGAGGGTTCGAACCCGGGGGGACCCCCCTCCACTTTAATAGAATCCTACCATAGCTAGATCCAGCTCTATTTTGACTCCCACTGGGCTCGGTGCAGCTTTAATAAGCTCCCGCTCGGTCCAACTCTGATAAACACCACCCTCAGTCGGGCGGGTCGGGGTGGGCGGGCGGGACATTAAATGTATGGTGCGCGCTCGCTCGCTCGCTCGCTCGCTCGCCCTCTCGAACAAGCACGCGAGCGAGCGAGCAAGTCGGACGCTTCGGGTCGGGCGGGCAGGACATTCAATGCATGTTGCTCGCGTGCTCGCTCGCTCGCCGGCTGGAGCAAGCATGCGAGCGAGCGAGCGAGGGAACGCCGTCCTATCGCTCGCTCGCTCGAACGCTCGAGCAAGCGAACGAGAGTCAGGCGGGTCGGGTCGGCCGGGCGGGACATCAAATGCATGGTGCGCGCTCGCTCGCTCGCCCTCGCAAGCAAACACGCGAGAGAGGAGCGAGTCGGGCGGGTCGGGTCGGACGGGCGGGGCATTAAATGCATGGTGCTTGCTTGCTCGCTCGCTCGCCCGCTCGAGCACGAGTGCGGGCGCGCGAGTTGGGCAGTGCGGTCTGGGCGGGTGGATCATTCCATGCATGGTACTCGCTTGCTCGCTCTCTCGCTTGCTGGAGAAAGCATGCGAGCGAGCGAACGAGGGAAGGAGGGAGTCGGCTCTCTCGTTCGCTCGCTCGCTCGCTCGAGCAAGCGAGCGAGCGAGTCGGGCGGGTCAGGTCGGGCGGGCGGGACATTAAATGCATGGTGCTCGCTTTCTCGCTCGCTCGCCCGCTCGAGCAAGCGAGCGAGCGAGCGAGTCGGGCCGGTCGGATCGGGCGGGCGGGGCATCAAATGCATGGTGTTCGCTTGCACGCTCGCTCGCTCGCCCGCTTGAGCAAGCGCGCGAGCGAGCGAGCGAGCGAGCAACCGTCGTCGTCGGAAGAGGACGAGGAGGAGAGTGGTTCCTCCTCCGTCCTCAATGCTCCTCCCCTCCATCCTCCGTCCTCCATCCTCTGTCTTCCATCATCCCTCCTGCTTCCTCCCAGCTCCACCGTGCCTCCTCCCTCTTCCCGTCTCCGTTCTCCTTCTCCTGCCTCCTTCCCTCCCATATTGTGCATGCCTTCTGTTTTCAGAGTACGTGTGCTTCGATGGATGCTGATGAGCTGCGAAGCTTTTCCGAAGGTGATGCGGTGAATGAGATCAATGCGTACAGCGGTAAGCCTTCTGTTCTCACCTGCACGACAATTCCAGCGAAACTTCAGCATCCCCTCAACGATACGGTTGATGGATTTTCCTCCTCTCCCCTTTCTTCCCCCTTCCTCCTCCTTCGCTCTCCTCCCTCCTTCATCCTCCCTCCTCCTCCTCATCCGTCCGTCCCCCCTCCCTCGTCGCTTCTCCCTGTTCCCTCGTCCATCTTCCTCATCCTCCCTCTTCCTCTTCCTCCTCTTCCTCCTCCTCCCTCCCTCCCTCCCTCCCTCCCTCCCTCCCTCCTTCCTTCCATCTCTCCCTCCCTGCCCTCCCCTCCCTTCTTCATCCTGCCTCCCGCCTTTCCCTCCTCCCTATGGAGCCTCCTCCCAGGTATCCAAATATCCACTTCTTATCCATGTTTCCAGCTCCCTCCTTCTCCTTCTCCGCCTCCTCCTCCTCCTCCTCCTCGCCGTGCGCGAAGCATGCTGACACGACCCCGACATCACAGAACGGCAGCCTGTGCTCTTCCGCGCGCGAAAGCTCTCAAAGTAGTCCTCGTAGACCGGCGCCCCCCGCGGACGCGCGTGTCCTCACCGCCCAGGAGGATCGAGGAGGAGGCAGGAGGAGGATAAGGATGGAGCTCGATCCTCCTCCTCCTCCTCCTGCTCCTCCTCCTGCTCCTCCTCGATCCCCCCCTCGATCCTGCAGCTCCCCTCGAGGCAGTCCTGCTCATCGTCCGCACTCTTTGAGCGCCGAGGGAGGCCGACGTCCGAGCGACACGCCATGGCGGGGGCCTCGGGGCGACGGGGGGGCGGCCTCCAGGATCGAGGACCGAGGAGGATCGAGGAGGATGCGAAGGAGGATGCGGATCGAGGACCGAGCGTGAGAGGCAGGGCAGGCGAAGGATCGAGGAGGCCGAATCTCGAGGCCCGAATCTCCGAGATGATGCCGTGCACGCGCAGCCAGGCCCGACCAGGCGAAGAGCGAACGAGCACCCCAAAGTCGAGGTCACAGACGTGTAGGGTGGGGCCCGCTCACGCGGGCCCGTTTCGTATCGCACGCGGCTGGGCTGGCTCAGGGCGCAGACTCCCCTGCGCGCTCGTCGTCTTCTCCTCCCTCCTCTCCTCGGCGAGAGGGCAGCTGCAAGGCCCAGGAACGCTCGGAGCGTCACGGTGGCCCCAAGCCTCAGCCTCTAGAGTCTGGGGTGGATGGAAGACATCTGGCGCCGAACGAGTGGCGCCAACGGCGGGCTTTCTTTGCTTGAGATGCTCGAGCCCAGAGCAGCCCCTCGCTCCTGCAGTGTCCGCGCCTGCGGTGGTTATGTGAAGAACTGCCGCCGAGCGAATCGCCGCTGACGTTCTGGCGCCTGTACCTCTCACACACTCGGGATGCCAGCCCTGAGCAGCAGGCGTCGACATTAGCACCCGCGCAGTGCAGTATCCGATATCGCCCAGCGTCCTCTCGTCGTCCATGGTCATTGTCCGCCACACTTGGCTGCCCGAAGAGCCGACAAGAGGATGAGGAGGACACGGAGTGGCTCGCCAATCGTGCGGCTCGCCAGGCCTCTTGCTTGGCGTTCATCCCGAAATCACGCTTCAGCAACCGGCCGTCGCCTCGTTGGTTGGCAGTGCCGGACGTACGGCAGTGCCTCCACGAGACCTCCCCCGGCATACTCCCTTCATGATATTTCGTTGTCGCTCATCTTGTCGCAGCCATGTGCTCAAATTCTCCTGAGCCTCCACTCCGTCCTGTGCTCCCTCCGCGGCCTAGAGGATTGGGTCACCCACGTCACCCGTGTCCCCGTCCCCCTCACCCTCCTGCTGCTGTTTCTCCTACTCCGTCGTGCCTCTCCTCTCCCTCCTCCTGTCCCCACTCCCCAAACAGTGCTTGCACTTCGGGACTCTTACTCGGATTCGTTGCGCAACTGGTGCGGCATCCAATGTTCTAGCCAGGTTGCGGGCCCGTGCCGCCTCGTGGGCGCCCTGCGCTCGAGCGGTACGCCGAGGCTGCGCCGCGTTGCCGCTCGTGCCACCTCGTGGGTGGCTCGCGGGCGACCCGCGCTCGGGCGGTATGCCGAGGTTGCGCCAGGTTGCCGCTCTTGGGCGCCCGACGGTCGGGAGGGATGCCGAGGTTGCGCCACGTTGCTACCTTGTGGGCGCCCCGTGGTCGCCCGGCATACCTTACACCGCATAGCTTGCACGACATAGCTTACATCACACCGCCTGCACCCCGTAACGTTCACATCTAGCTCACACATAGCTTGCACGGCATAGCTTGCTCCACAAAGCTTACACCGCATAGCTTCCACCTCCACACTGTAATACATAATAAGGCGCTGTTTGGCGTCCACGCTGGCTAACATGTATTCTCATGCGCCTCCCCTCCATGTGCATGCTGCTCCTCTCCAATTCCCTACCGCTGTTGCCTCGTCGCGGTTGGCAAGCTCAGTGGCCACCTCTCTCCCTCTCCCTCTCTCTCTCTCTCTCCCTCTCTTCAGACCCGCCCTCCATTTTGCTCCGCCTCGTAGGTCCCGCTCGCGTCTCGAAGCTCGATGGCCCAACAGACCAGAAATCGCACAGGATCCCGAGGGCGAATCTTAACATGTGTGCTTTGCTGGTGTCGGGCCCGCAGAGCGGGAATCGCGCTGGCCCTCCAGGCGGGCACTGGCACGCAAGTATCCGAGCGGAGGGTGTCATGCGATGATCCCGCCCAATTTGCTGACCAGTGCGCTGCCCCACTCGCCAGGACCACGGCTGGGAACGAAATTCCTGCTGCTCCCCCTGGGGGCTCTCGGCGCGCGGACCTGGCTGAGCATTGCTGCCCACAGGGGCGCGAACGGCGGATGTCGGCGTGAAGGAGGGCGGCGAGGAGTTCGACGAGGCGATCCACTGCGAGGGGCAGCACGAGCGCCTGCAGCAGCTCCAGGGCGGCGCGCGCGCGACGCCGCGCGCGGACACGGACGAGGGCGACGGCCCCACTGGGGGCGGGGCGGCCGAGGAGGCGGCCGTCGAGGAGGCATATCGACGGCGAGGCGAGCTTGTGTCGGGGAGGCCGCGGAGGGGGACCGCCGAGGAGCGTTCCGGCGGGGAGGTCAGCGAGTCCTCCGCGGGGGATTGTCAAAGAGGCCCTCGAGCGCTCACCATGCAAGCAGTCGCAAGAGCAGAAGAAGCCGAACACAGAGGATCAGTTGCGCATCGAGGTTTTCCAGCAGCGTCAAGCGGAGCTCACGTTGCCGAGGCTGGAGTTCCGCCGCCCTCCCAAAGAGCGCAGGCGTCGACTTTCGGAGGGCGGGGGCAGCCGGTTAGAGAATCGAAACAGGAGAGGCAGACACTGTCGGAGGTCCGCGCGGATGTCCAGGGGCCAGTGGTAGTCCGCAGGTCAGCCCGAGCCCAGCAGCAGCCGTGCAAGGGGCTGCCAGCAGATGGCGGCGTACGAGGCCCAGCAACTCTGGTGATGTAGCTGGTCGCCGGCGCGTGCGCTGCCCGCGGTCGGCACACCCTGCCGTTATTGCTCGTGTGCTGCGCTGCCAGCAAAGGCCTGGGCATCGCAGGCCAGGCAACCAGCCTGGCAACAACTTTGGCGACAAGAATCTCCACCGCGTTGCCTTACAAGGTGTTGGCCCAGGTGGGCGCGGTCTCCACACCTCTCGCGAAGTCGGCAGGGAGGAGGGAGGCATGTTTGCATTTTTAGCACGTCCGTTGCGGTGCGAGGCCCGCTTCATTCTGCGCGCATTATCTTGCGCGCCTGAGGCCAGACGCTGCAAAGTTGGGGTTGGCGGCGCGGCGGAGCGCGCCTGAAGCTCGGCCAATGCAATATTGAGATTGGCGTCTGAGCGGGCGCCTGAGACCAGGCTTCCACGCTGGGATTGCATTGACACCAGAGATCTGCACGCCAGATCTGTGCGGCCTGCAATGACAGGTGGCACTTCAATGCTAGCTCTTGCGGACTGTCGAGCGTCTGCTCCATACCAACCTTCAAAGGCAGCAGCGTGATAGGCAATGCAATCATCGTCATCACCAGCATCACCACAATCCTCATCACCACCCTCATCATCCTCATCACCATCATCAGCATAATCAGCATCATCAGCATCATCATCGTCTTCGTCATCATCATCATCATCATCATCATCATCATCATCATCATCATCATCATAATCATCATTATCGTTATCATCATCGTCATCATCATCATCATTATCAGCCTCATCATCAGTCGCAGCAGCAACATCATCAGCCTCATCAGCTTCACCGTCACCAGAATAATCAACATACGAATCATAATCAGAATCGCAATCATCATTACCATCACCATCAGCATCATCATCGCCGTCAGCATCATTATCATCATCACCAATATCACCAACACTATCACATTCATCATCACCAGCATCATCATCATCATACTCATCATCATCAGCCTCATCATAGTCATCATCACCACCAACCCCATCTTCATCATCAGCTGTATCATCATCATCATCATCATCATCATCATCATCATCATCATCATCATCATCATCATCATCATCATAGTCATCATGATGATGTTGATCATCATCAGCATCATCATCACCATCATAATCAGCAGCAAGTTCGCCATAATCATCACCACCACCATCATCATAATCAACATCATCGTCGTCATCAGCATCATCACCATCGACGTCAGCAGCAACAGCATCCTCATCACCGTCATCATCATCAGCCACATCATCACACGCATCATCGCCACCATCGAATTCGATACACACATCGCTATCGCATCGTCGTCATCATCATCGCCGCCAACATTATTATCATCTGACGCCTGTTGTTTCCCCGTCTCCCATCCCTACCGTTCCGCCCCCCCCCCGCCCCCCTACATCATTCTCCTTCCATTATACTGGCAGGCTCCTGCTGCGAGGTCGCGGAGACCCCCCGCACGCTCCAGGCCACGCAGCCGCAGTCCTGGACCCCCATCTGCGCGAAAAGGAGGGACAAAGTGCTTCAGCGCGGCTCGCGCTGCCAACAAAAAGTGAAGTCGCGCCGAACGTCCGTTCCCCCTCCCCCTGCTCCTGCAGACGGATTGCGCCTCCCTACTCTCACCACACACACGTATTTGTCCAATATGCCACTACTGCACAGCTGCGCACACATCGCGGCCGTAGTCTGCAAGGCGCGGCACTGCGCTGCAAGGAACTGCACGCGAACACAGGTCGGCCGAAAGCCGCGCCGCGCAAGCACATGCCACAGGGAGGTGAGGAGGACGGGGGATTATGGGGAGGGGGAGGGGAGGGGAGGGGGAGGGGAGGAGGCGGAGGAGGAGGAGGGGGAGGAGGAGGAGGATGAGGAGGAGGAGGAGGAGGATCAGGAGGAGGCGGAGGCGGAGGCGGAGGAGGAGGAGGAGGAGGAGGATCAGGAGGAGGCGGAGGCGGAGGAGGAGGAGGAGGAGGAGGAGGAGGAGGAGGAGGAGGAGGATGGGGTTCGACAAGACAGTCCGCAGCTTCGAGGCTTCGAGGAGGAGGAGCAGCAGCAACAGGAGGGGGAGCAGGGAAGGGCGCAGGAGCGCGTGGCCCTGTGGGGCCCCCGAGGCCAGCTGGGGCGGCTCGGTGCGGTGGCCCGGAGGGCCTGCTCGTCGGCCCGCGGCCGCGGCCCGCGGCCGTGGCCCAGGTCGCAGCTCGTCGCTTCCTCGGGGCCTCCTCGTGGCCCTCCCGTGGGAGGCCAGGGCGTAATCTCCAGTCTGCAGCTGGTGGCCCCGTGGCCGCACCGTGGCTCGTGGCCCTTCTTGGCCTTCCCTGCGGGGACGGCGAGTGGAGCTTCGGTTCTGTGGCTCGTGGCCCCCTGGTGGCCTCCTCGCGGGGGGAGTGCGTGCCCAATGCCGGTTCGGTGGCTCCTGGCCCTCACTGTCCCTGTCCGTTCGCAGGGGTTCTCGTGGATCCCGACGCTGTGGCTGGTGGCACGTGGCCCTTTCGTAGCTCGTGGCTCCCTCGTGGTTCTGTCATGGTGTGCGTGTGTGCGTGTGTGGGTGTGTGCGTGTGTGCGCGTGTCACGCTTTACAGAAAGGCCTCCCCGCCGCTGCGGCCTGGTTCCTATGCTACGATCTGCGCGCGCCCACCGCCCTTACGGCCGGGCACCCCCCCGCCGCAGCAACACTGTCCTCTGCAACGCTTTTCGCCACTTGCTTCTCGCAGAGCTGCCTACCCGGCTTCCTGGCCGGTCGGCCTCCTGTGCGGTTTTGCCTCATCTTCGGTGTGCCGCCCGGTGGTGTCGTCCTCCCCTGCGCCCGCCCTCGTGCGCCGCTCCTCTGCTCCCTCCTCTGCTCGCCCCTCGGGCCGTCGCTGGGTTCCGCCCTCCTCTCTCGGGTTGTCGGCCCTCGTCCCCCGGCTCCGGGTTCGTCCTGGTCCCCGGGTGTCGTTCCCCCCCTCTGCCTCGTGCTGCTCTTGCTGCTCTCCTGGATCGTCCACCTGCGTGCTGGCGCACCGTCTTTGCGGCTTGTGCTGCATGGCGCACGAGGTGCCGACACTCCTTCCGTCGCCGCCTGCGGTCATGCTTCCCCTATACGGCCTGCGCGCTCTCGCCACCCTTACAGACGGGCACACTCTCGCCGCAACTGCGCTGTATCTTGCACTCTGTCTTTTCGCTGTCTCGGGCTCCTCGGTGGGTCGCGTATGATTGCGGTCTTGCCTCTCATGCCTCTGCCTTCTTTCGCTTTCTGCTTGCGTTTGCATCTTCCACGTGCATCGGTTTCTGCCCCGTTTTTTCTTGCACCGTCAGATGCGCTTTAGCTCTGGCCTCCCATCGGCACACGTTCGGTGGTGATCCCTCTACGTAAGCGCGTCCCGCTTTGCACTTCGCTGCGTTGAATCAACCGGCCAGGATTACTAAAGTATGTGTGTGTGTGTGTGCGTGTGTGCGTGTGTGTGTCAAGTGTCCTCTACTTGGGTCGCCCCCCTCCCGCATGCCTAGATGCATGCTTGGCCGTTGCACGTCGTTGCTTCGTTCACCGTTGCCTGCCCCTTACTCAGAATTTCACGGCTTCGGTTCGAGCGGATTCGACATACATGATTTTGCATTTTGAGCTGACAGATCACGTTTGCTTCCAACGCGTTCGTGACTCACAGCGCCAGAGGAGGACAAGTGCACGTTAACTGCCCATGCTGGGGGCGCGCGTCGGCGTGAAGCCAATCGCCTCTGCGACCTACTTGAACTCTTTCAGCAAGTTTTTGCCCAACCCGACTGCACCGAGCAAGAGCAAATGACTTCACATTAGGAACATGCGCTCCGCTGTCTTTTTAGCATTTTTTTGTAGCACGGCCATACAAAGAGACCACCCTCCTGGCCACTTGTCAATGGAAATGGAGCCAATGATTTTGCGCCACATCAGCTGTTGTGGCAGGTAACAAGAGATGTTCACATTCGCACGGAACTAACATCTCCATGATACGTTCATACTGGTCCATGATCGCTCTCGTAGCCATCCCGACATGTCCCATCCACCCACAGAGCACTTGCAGGATCGCTAGCTGGTAATATTATGAATATCGGTGAGACTTCCCCTCACGAGCCATTAGACAACATCTCATTGTGAAGAAGCTGTCACAGGTGGGGTGGTACATGTCACGAGGGGATTGAGGAGACTTTCGAAGACCAAGGCGCGGAAGATGGATAACAAATGCTTGAGCCAAAGTGGTCCGCAAAATACCCTGCCTGTCTGTCATTACCCTCCCTGCATATCGAAACGGCAAGGTTGTGACTAGGAAGAGGAGGAGGAGGAGGAGGAGGAAGAATAGGAGGAGGATGAGAACGAGGAACTGCCGGACAAGCCCTCTTCCTCTCCATGTCTTCATGCCTCCTATGCCCTTCTGACCGCTCCCCGCTCTCTTCCCCTCCTCTCCCCTCCATTCCTGGCCAATGCTGGTGGGCTTCGACGGAGCTTCAGGCAGAAACCAAAACGGCAGAGGAGGACGACGAGATGAGGAGGAATATGACGAGGATGAGAAGAAGAAGAAGAAGAAAGGCGAGAGGCTGGAAAGCGTGCCCCAGTGGAAAACGGCAGTGACCAGGGAAGGAACCAACCATGCCTTCCCTCCTGTCCCTCCTCATCCCTCATCCCCTCCCATCGCTGCGTCCGCCCTTTCTCTCCCCTCGCTCTCCCGTCCCTTCGCTCCCTGGGGCTCCTTTTAGCGCAACCCACACGGAGCCCTCTGGCCGCCTCAACTGCTGCAGCGACGCCCGCATGTCGTGGACCTCCCAGCGTCGGAGCCCAGAGGGGCGAGGAAGGAGGAAGAAGGAGGAGGAGGAGAAGTGGATCCGAACGCATCTCGGGCTAGTCTGGGCAGCCCCCCTGCCCTGCTTGAAAGCTGGTGCTGGAGCCCGGTTCATGGTGAGGGAGTACGAAGAGGCCCAGGACGAGTGGAGCAGAGAGGGAGAGACAGATCGAGAAAGAGGGGGGGTAAACGGGAGAGAGGGGAAATAGTAAGGGACGGAGAGGAGAATAGAGAGAGAGAGGTTACGCCCCCGAGCTAATCCTGATTGCAGAAGAACTGATCTCCACTCAACTTGATTCCTGAACAAAGAAACTAAGCCAACGCCAGCCGCATATCTGAATGTGCCAGTACCACGTGCCTTGCCGACTCTTAGAAACCAAACGACTTGGTGTAGGATTGTCGCGAAGAGCGGACTCAATGTTTTACGAACCGAGCTGACTAGGTATGGTGATGTGTGCGTTCCAATATCCGAATCTCCATGGTTCTCGGCTTCTCCCCCAAAAAACATCTACTGCCGATCCTGATCCTCCCCCGTTTAGGTCGGAAGATGGGTGCGCCAACTGCTCAGCAGCATCGGCACGGTGCCAAGCGTGCGGAACCCGATCCAACAGCAGGCCACAGTTCTGAGAAATCTGTTCGTTAAGTGTCGTGGGCGTGAGGCCAATGTCTGCCAGAAGCGCGGTGGGACGATGATCCTGCGTAGATTTGACGCCCGAAGCACATTCGCCATGCATCTAATTCGACTGTCCCTGAAAGCATGTGCGTGATTCGCCTGACGCTGTCACATACGGTGCACATCCAACTGATCAAAGATCCGCGTGCACGCTGTTAGACGTATGTACCCCCAAGCCTCCAACACCACCGCTAGGAGTAGACAGCAGACCGCAAGCCAGGAAACCTGGACTAGGAGCAGGGACAAACACACCAGGACCATACCAGGAGCATGCCGAAGCTTCTGCGAATGGAGCGTTGCGGTGCCTTGCTCCTTGAACTGCAACAGATGCATCTCATCAAATACCTGGACCATGCCACCATCACCAACGCTGCTATAGAAGAGAGGCGCCGACTTCACGACCCGGGCACCGTGAGACAGCAAGAAACGTGATACTAGCGGCGACTCTCGGCGATGGATGGAATGCAATCACGTTCCTGCTTGCGTGCGTGTGTTGCCCAATCGGTCGTCATTTACGTGTTCTCACACCAAGACCGAGCAGAGATAGGCACCATGGCTCCGAATAAGAAGCTGTTGCTAAGCCTGTTGCCGTTACCCGTGGTAGCGCGGAGGGTATCAGTATTGAAGTGTGCCGAGAGATGGCCAAGAATGGGGAGCCCCCCCCTGAGGCCGGAAAGAGGGAGGATTGCCACATGACGGGCTCCTCAAGGGCGAGGGGAGCTCCAGGAGGTGATTGTCTTGAGCCAAGATGACAACGGACAGACGTTTTTTGTGTATCCACCCCGCTCTACATGTCCAGTTTATCTCGTATGTTCCCGTTCCACATTCTGTTCAGCACAACTGCCGAACAAAAAAAACGTTTTTAGAGGACGCCGACAAGAGCAAACGCCCCCCGATACCCAGGAGGGGCCTAGGAAAACGCACGTTCCACCCCCGCGGGGACGGCCCACAGAGGGCGACATGGAAACGAAAAAGAGGAGGACGGCGGGGCCGAGGGAGAAAAACGACAGCCCCAAAGCGCACGAACGACAGCCGCAAAGCGATAGGACGGAAAAAAAATATGGGGAGACGACAGAACGACGAAAAGAGGCATAACGACAGGAAACGTGGTGGTCAGCTAGCTGACGTGCTGCTGGCCGGCTGGAAGAGCAGAAGCCGCATCTTCTGGATTGGTTCCTCGAAAAGGGCAAGGCCACTCCTCGGGGGAAGTAAGGCAGCGCGCAGTGCCTGAAACTGCCGAACATCACAAAGGGCATCGCCACGATGTCAGTCGATTGTGTGGCCAGCAAGGACAGCACCCTCAAGAGCAGGAGAACCAGGCACCGATGGAAACACAATTCGATGCCGATCTCCATGCAAAAGTCCTTCACCAGGAAGCCTAGAAACGGAGAGCTCATGATCTGGAAGCTGGCCTTCACCCGTCGTCTATCGCGTTCCTGTGCAGCGGTCGGGACGCAACTCGAGTAGATCCCGCCTGTGGATTGTGCCACGCCATATTCTGGTTCAGGTGGATGACCGCGTAGAGATAATCCGCGTGCTGCTCGAGCGACAGGATGACAGCCTCATTGAGGAGTCCTTCTCGCTCAGATGGTGTGGCTCTCAGTCGAGCAGCGCCTTCAACGGGCCCAGACACATGAGGATACCCCAGTGGCAACTGGCAATATGCATATCAACGCGACGATGATGATGACGACTGGCCCCGGTCCTGGTCCATCCGCTTTGGGATGTGACTCGTGGCTGACGAGCCCACCGCATAGGCTGGATGTGGTACAATATGCTGAGAAGCTGGCGCTCTACGTCCATCCCACTTCATTCGCTCCATAGGTGCTGGGCTCTCGGGTGGAGCGCTCCGCACAACGCACACCTGGTGTTGGCATCGTTGATGGCGCGGGTCTGACTGCGTAGGGTTCCACGCCAGAAGATGTTGACAGCCTGCTTCTCGGCGGCCGGCAGGCTCTCCGAGAACTTCTTCCGCAGGGGGTCGCTGGAGACCTCGACATCGATCTTCTCCGCGCCCTCCACGTCGCTGCTGCTGTGGGCGCACTGCTGCAGGCATCGAATACGGCGCACAAGTCTGACGTAATGTTGAGTTTCTTCGGACCGTGTCCAAAAGCATGAGCGGCCCTGGCGCGCGTTTTCTGCGCCCTTCCGAACCCTCGGGTCGTCCCCCGGGAGCACCTCCAGGCACGGGCCAAAATGCGAGTCGTGGTCTCAGAAGCCTAGCCTCAGCCGATCCACGGCAGTTCGGATCCACGGCAGTCCAGATAATTTGGGGCACATTCCATCAAGTCCACGCCACGTGTCTGTAGTATCTCATGGATGAACCTGTCAACGCGGACACCATCCTTTAGGAGCTCCTCGATATGTATGTATACACATATGTATAGATAGCAAGCGTAGGTGTCTCTGAAACCACTGAAGATGTTCTTAACGCGCGGTTGATACTGGATGGCACGGATCATATCACGGCCGCCGCCCCCGCGGTCACCATGTCGGCTAAGACAAGAGATGCCGCCGGCGGAGCCTTGAAACCTGCCCCTCTCAAAGCCCGGCTCGCTGTGCCATGGGCCATGACTGGTGAGAACGCTTCCGCACCCAAGTCGTCCAAGCCGACGGTGTCGCACAATTGTTCGTGACCGCGCCCGCTCCGCGGCCCTGAATGGCACGGAACTGGCGCGCGTCGCATCGGCCATCAATTTCATCGGAGCCCCTTGTGATGCGGTGCTCCAGTCGTTCTTTATCAGAGATCCTTGAAATAAATTCAATGGTCGATGCCTGCTTGTCCGCAGTGCATGCACGGAGCCAGTGAGTAACGTGCCAGTGTCCTCTGTGAGGGTGATCGGCAATCTCGTTGACGTCGACCCATCCCTCGCCGCTGACGAAGGACTCCGACCGTCACTCCCTTCCTTGATGAATGTTGATACTGGCGTGGCAGAGAAGCCAGGATAGAAATTGGGATAGCTTCACGCCGTGGGATCTGCAGCGAAAACCAAGGGACTCAGTAGCGTCCTTTGCTATCTCGCGGTCGACATCTCCCAGGCGGAACGCATTGCCGCATTGAAAGCGGCGCGCGTCTCGTTTATCTACGCCTTTCGTTTTACCTTTGCCTGGGCCCTTCGAAGAGGTGTCCTGATCCGTCGTCTGGAAGAATATCGTCATCGAGCTCCCACCATGGAGTTTATTATTCAAACATGTTGCCCCGTGGGTCACCGCGATTGCCCCTGCCGTCAGTGGTCAGGTTGCCCCAAGCGCTCGAGCCCGAACATGCAGCGGTCGGGTTATCCCGAGCGCCCGAGCCAGAACATGCTGCACATGGATGGCGCTGAGCTCGGCCCTCATCTCGTAAAACGACTTGACGCGCTTATCGTAGTGTTCACTGGTTTCCTACATCGTCTTCCTTGTCACTGTCAGGGACGCCATGAGGGCCGTCGCATCCCTTGCCCTTTCCGGATTAAGGGCGCATGTGGTCCGCCATTCCAAATCTTTGTTCTTGCCAGCGATGCACGGGGGCCGCGTGCGTCGCGATGGCGTTGGCGGCCTGTGTGACTAGCCCGGGGGCCCGAACCTATCTTCGAGAGAGTCCACTCTCTGCGTGTCACGTGTTGTAGGTGGGCACTTAAAAAGAATAATTATGTGCTTCGCCTCAGCCGCTCTTTTGGGGTTAGGCTCTAATCGCTTCTTGCCCTTCACCACCTTGATGTCTTGAGCTGTTCGTCCGGGTGCATCAGACAAAATAGCTCTGCAACCAGCGGCAACTTGAGCCTCGTAAGATGCGCGGGCGCTGTCGTCGTCGGAATCGTCAATGGGGATGTCTATGAGATAAGGGGCTCTTTGCTTTTTGGCTGCTCTGATCCCGACGTGCCGGCGCCGGCCCCAGCTGCGCCGCCTCCAGGGGTTGCGCGTGTTCTTTCCGCTCTCTCCTCGATGTCACTGAGTGACGCGGTCTTCGTTCGGTCTACCTTCGAGCAAATTTTCTCGGCTTGATGCCCGAGAAGATGCCGAAGAGCGGGTCGGAGTAAGCGTGACTGGCGGCCTCCCTAGAGGTCTCTTGGGCTTGCCCGCAAGTTCTGTTTGGGCCTTTGCCTCGGTGGGGGCGGGTGCACGTGGCCCCAGTGCGTCTGATGGTGGTGACATCCGGATAGACGTTCCATCGGGGATGATTGACTTGATTCCTGTAGGGCCAGTCTCCTGAGCCCTGCCAGTATCGAGTTTCGGCCTGCATTTGCGTCGATCTGTCTCGTCTCCCTTCGTGGCTGGCTGCAGGGCGAGGTGGTTGACCTCCGCGAAGATCTTGACATGTTTCGTCG